AAGCAATATTGGGCTCTCTGGGTTCGTGGTGCCGGACGTCTCGTTCGCAGGCGTCTCCTGGCTCTGCCGGGGATGGGAACTGTTCAAGAAAAAGTTCCCGGAGCAGTTCGTGGACAAGCAACGCGACTTCTGGGTGCCGGATCTGGAGTCCAGGATCATCTTCCGCAGCACGGCCCCGGAGTACGCTCGTGCTCTACAGTGGGCACACCACCTGGTCTACTCGGCAGCTCGCCTGGACAACGTGGAGGCCTCTTTGCTGACGAAGGTGCAGGAGCTCACTTGGCACTCGGCACGGGTGACAACGCTTGATCAAGCGGTGCACTTTGGACGCACCCCTCAGGAGATCGGAGTGCAAGCGAACTGGAAAAACCCAGGACCGCTCGTCCTGAAGTACACCAGATCGCGGTCGTCTCTGCCGGCAAAGATGATCAAACAGTTGGTGGCGGAGATCTCTCAGAACCACCAGCCGGCCTGCGCTCGCGAGGACGACGAGATCGAGGACGGCGAAGACACGGACCTCAACGTCAGCGAGTTCTTCGTGAAAGCTCCGGAGAAAGGCTCCAGCTACGAATACAAGTTCCACGTGTGCTCTGCCGACAATGTGGACGAGATCGCCTGCGGCATGATCAAGGCTGCGGATTGTGCGCGCATAGGATCAATTCTGCCTGATGCAGCGTTGCTCTGCAAGCGATGCGCAAAGGCGCGTCCAGACGTTGCGCTTGCATATAAGTGCTAAAGTCTGGTTCGCTTGTGTGCGAAGTTCGGTTGGCTGATCCTGTTTTACCTTTTTCCTTTCTGTGTTCAAGCCTCTCGGTTCAGTAAGGTCTGGTAGATTGACACGATGGTAGATCGCACCTCCTACCCCGATGCCGACAAAGTTCCAGACCTGGCCGTTCGGCAAATAAATTTGGCAGGCAGAAGCTCCCTACGGCGCTTTGCCTGCTCATGGCAGAGAATGGCATGCTCTCGATCGAGCGCTTCTCGATGCTCGGCGAGTCCATCTCGGCGGTGAAGGCGACGCTCAAGGCCATCGTCGGGGACGTCAGCAAGTTTGGCGCAGATTGGCGCAAGAGCTATCGCTCACACTGCTGGCTGCAGTGTGGAAATCTGCTTATTCCAGCTTGCAGGAGCATGTCTCCGCTCGGAGAGCTAAAATGGAAGAAGATCCGTCCAAAATCCCAGAGATCCCCGGAGAGATCATGCAGAGTTCCGAGAGATCTTCGTGAACCAGCGCCCCAAAATCGTGCTCACCTACATGCGCGAGCCGCGTCGGAAGTTCGTTGAGCGGATCCATAGAGACTACATGGTCCATGGAGCAGTCGCCTTCTACGAGGTCGCGGAAATGCGCACGAGGTCGGATCGTCTCGTTCAGACGTCCGGTTTCAGCAAGACCTCCGACGATCTCCTTCGGGTTGTTCAACACGATAACAAGATCTCCGTTACCTCTGAGGGCGACGCGATGGACAGGATCCACTCCTTCTTTGTAGCCCTCGAGTACCTCAACATCTGCGAGTTCTCCAAGGATGCGGGTCCACTTCCTTATCTCTCAGATCTCGAAGAGTGGCGACATGAGAACCGAGGGCTCGCACTTCTCCTGGCAGCCGACACCCTGATCAGGAAGAAGGTCTATCGGCTGAGCAACGACAAGCGCAAAGAGCTCCCTACCTTCTTGGCTGCTCTGTTGGAGGTCCTCAAGAACCATAAACAGCTCTGGAATGACGCCCGATCGAGCGCCGAGATTGACAAGTTCAAGCAACCGGAGCTCGACTCCACTCCTGCTCGGAAGCGCAGGGCGGATTCTCCGCCCCCGCCTCCCACACCAGAGAAGGTCGAGAACAGAACTTAGCGCAACCGCGCTAAGCGAGAGAGGCAGAAGGCGCTGCTCAAGAAGGCCAAGGAGGTCCTGGAGCCCGGCAAGGTCACCCTCAAGCCAGCCAAGGTCACGGAGAAATCCGATCGCGACAAGCGCACTCCGGAGTCGGAGTGGAAGACCTTGGCGTCCATCAAGTACACAGGTCGGAAGAGGTGCGTCTCGTTCAACTGCTCTCTGGGATGCCGCTTTGGAGATCAATGCCGAGCCGAGCACAGCTGTCTGCAGTGTGGGGGTGATCACCCCTACCATGGCAACCACTGAGGTCGAGACAACCGGACGCCTGCGCCGGCTCCGCGCAGGTGTCTACGCTCTTGGAGCCACCCGGGTGGTGGGGTTCAGACAGTGATCTTCCTTGTCAGGTTTTGAGTTCTGAACTTTTCACGCCACCGCCGTGGGACCGGCGGTCGCTGGTGCCACGCGATCCGGACCTTGGTGCCTGGAAATCTTTTCAGGCAAAGCTGGCATTAGCAAAGCTCTCCGGCAAGAAGGGCTTCGAGTTCTGCCGCCTATCGACATCACCGTCGAGGGCGAGGTCCACGAGCCAGCTGACATCCTGGACGCCGAGCTCTTCGACTTCGTCATGCTCTTGGTACAGATTGGCGCAGTGGACTTCTTGCATCTAGGTACTCCCTGTGGCACGTTCAGCATTGCTCGGACGCGGCCCGGGGGTCCGCCTCCCCTCCGATCGGAGGCTTTTCCTTTAGGCTTCCCTGAGCACGAGGGAGAGCTATGGTGGCAACTTTGGTCAGGAAATGAGTTCCTGGCTCGATCTCTCCTTCTCATGGAGGCGGTGGTCAAGGCAGGCGGGGACACGTCGCTCGAGAACCCACTCTCAAGCCTCATGTGGAAGGTCTCGTGGGTTCAGAAGCTGGCGCGCGAACTTCACCTGTTCCAAGTGGACATGGATCAATGTGAATATGGTGCCCAGGCGGTTCTTAGTCAGCCACTCCTTGTTCAAGAGGTGGCAACGCCGCTGTCGGGGAGATCACCCACATGTTCCTCTACAAGGCTTTGTTCGTGACGCTCGAGGTCGTAAAGTGTTCGCCGCCAAGTTAGCTCAGGTATATCCCGATCGTTTGTGCCAGGTCGTTGCCAGTTCAGTTGGCCGAGTTGTGCGAGGCGAACTTCCCCAGTTCAAGGCTTCCTTTGCGTTGACGGACGCCAGCTCGAGCAGGAAAAGGCCTCTCGGTGCGCGTCGGACCTGGCTTCAGCATCGACAATATCAGGCGGCTCAGCTGGCAGCGGCATCGGGCCAGCTCAAACGTGGAGCCCTCAAGCCGCTCTTGCAGATCGAATGTGACCAAGCCAAGCCATCCAATGGGCATTGCAGGTCACACACCCTTTCACTGTACCACCTGAGCTCAGCCCGAGAATACAAAACAACATTCGGCGGATCTTGCAAGCTCCACGTGAGCTTGTTCAGGCTCGTGAACGATTGCTTGCTTTTTGGAGGAAACGTGCTCAGCAACTCCTACCTGTCTCCGATCGAGAGCTGCTCGCCGAGCGCGATCCCCACTTGCGGTGCCTTCTGCGCGGCGTTCCTGATGATGCTCCTCCTCAGCTGGGTCGCAGCTTTATGAAGAGATGTTGCGAGCAGCTCAGTGCAAAGATACATCTCTGGCAGGGAGGCTTCGCTCGGGTTTCCCCATCGTGGGCCGTATTGAGGAATCTCAGAGATGGCCTGCGTTCGCTAAGCCTCAAGATCCAGTACCTGTTCAGGAAGCACTTCGCAGGGCCTGGGAGTTCAAGAAGAAGATCTTTCAAAGGTGTGCTGCAGTTCCAGTAAACGACAACCTCAGAGCCATATGGAAGTCGACTATCGAGGACTCGAGGACGTGGAGGAAGGCTACTCTCTTGGCCCGCTCGCGGATGAGGCAGTGGATCCCGACTCAGAGGTTTGAGGTCGTCCAGAAGAACAAGGTCAGAGGTTGTGGCAGTGCAACCTCCAACTTGGTCAACAGGACGGCAGTGATCACCGAGAAGCTGCAGCTCCCGTCGACCGATCTCAACGTGGCCGTTCTCAGGGAGATCTACACCCTATCGGGCCGCCAAAGGTTGCATGGTTGGGTCCTTGACGAGAGGAAGGCCTATCGGCAGATTCCGGTCAAAGTGGACCATCGTCGGTTCACGGTGATCTGCCTCAAGGACCCCGGAGATCACAAGCCTAAGTACTTCGTGATGATGGGCCACTCGTTCGGGCTCGTCTCTGCAGTCTATAATTATAACCGCAGATCTGCGGCCATCAATGACATCTTTGAGGAGATCTTCTCAATGATCTCCTTCAACTTCTATGATGACAAGTACGGGTTCGAGGCCTGCGCGACAGCTCCCTCGGCAAGGAAAGTGGCGGAAGAGATCCACTTTCTCTTGGGCGCCCAGTTCGAGGCCAAGAAGCTCCAACTCTCCTCGTCTCCAGTGATCCTGGGCGTTACCTACAACCTGGACTCGATGGTTCTGGAGATTAAGAAGGAGAGGAAGGAAGAGCTCGTGGAGACAATCGACTCCATCCTCCACGCAGGGACTTTTGATCCGCGGTCAGCGGGCAAGCTCAAAGGCAAGCTGATGTTCGGGTCGAGCCAGCTCTGGGGGAAAGTGGGGAGTGCCTTCTTTCGCCCCCTCTCGGAGCGGCAGTACCTGAAAGACTTGACGGAGGATCGGACACGCCTAACCGAGCCCTTGATCAAGGCGCTTGTTCAGTGGAGGAAGCTCGTCCTCTGCGGCCCTCCTCGGGAGATCTCACTGAGGTGTCAGAAGAAGTGCGACGTGGTGATCTTCACGGACGGCTTCACCCCAGATCTACGCAAGAAAGAACAAGGCCTTGATCGTATGGGGGCAGTCATGTTCGCTCGCCGCGACGACCATCCTCGACAGTTCTCTGAAGCGATCCCTGTGAAAGTGGTTCGCAAGTGGCTCTTCCGCAAGACTCAGATCGTCCCCATCGAGATGATCGCCACGGTCCTCGCGATCGAGACCTTCAAGGATCACCTGAGAGGCAAGGACGTTCTGCTTCTGATTAATTCGGAAGCGGTAGAAGCCTCGCTCGTGAAGGGCTATTCGTCAAAGCAAGATCTCTGCAAAATCATTGAGCTTTTCTGGGATCTTGCTCTTGAGCTCAGAATAAGTTTCTTTATCGACCGAATCTCCTCGGACTCAAATCCAGCAGACTGGCCCTCTCGGGATCAGCTGTCTATCGGCGAAGCCGCTGGATGGAAAACCGTGTCCTGTGCCTGGCTGTCTGCTCTTGTGTGAGTTCGTTTTACGTGGGGGTAGGTGCTGGGCCTGGGATGGGCTGCTGGTCGTTACCCGTTCGGGAAGATCGGTGACCTATGGTTCTGAGCACGGGAAAGTAGTTCGGAACACCGGCAGCTCGCCTAGGCTTAGTTCTGCTGATGCAGTTCGAGTTTTGAGATCGCAGACATTTTGATCAGGTCTGCTCAGGACTGCTCGACCCCACGCCAGAGCAGAAAAACAGTTCGTCTTCTGCTCTGTGTTCTGTCTGCTGATCAGTGAAGCCATGAACGTTCATGCACGGTAAGTGGTTCTCCTATAACGGTCTGGTGGGTAGGATAGGAGGGTCACTCACCTGCATGAGATCAGCAGTGCTGTGTTCACACGCATGCAGTTCTGCATTCACTTTCTCACGGCAGTTCCTGAACGCATTGTTCTGTATGCGTGGCCATGCTGGATCAAGCGATCGCTTGACATTTGCTGGTCAAGTTTTTGTTCCCACCCTCCCTAACCCTCATGATGAACGGAGCCTTCGCTGCTTCGTTCGATGATGTGGTCCGCGAGTTCGGAGGGCTCCAGGCGCTCGCTATGGGGACGCGCGATGACCTCTTTCGAGCGTGTGTGGATTGCGGGATCATGACTGGCTGCTACTGTGATGGAAAGTGGGGAGCTCCCTGCTTTGCCGCAGTTCGCGTCCCCAGTGAGAGATGGTGCGAAGGTCAGCGCACTCCTTTGTGTACCAAGTGCGATCGCACCATCGGGATGTGCCGGCTCTGCCGAGGAGTACATTCTTGCACTCTTCCTGCCCGTGAGTGAGATCCACAGTAAGGAGGTGATGGGATGGGCTGCTGGTCGTTACCCGTTCGGGAAGATCGGTGACCTATGGTTCTGAACACGGGAAAGTAGTTCGGAACACCG